CAGCATGTAACAGGTACAGTCCCAAATAATCCCTCGTCAAATGTCTGAATCCCAATGTCGAGTCTGGATCTAAATGTCGTCAAATCCCAAAGTCACCAATCTCTCTCTCTCTCTCCCGTAGTCTGCAGATACTGAGAAGTCAGGTAGCGAGAGGGTGAGGAAGAGATGGTGGACTTTTTTTTTTTTCTTTTTTTTTTTGAAAACAGGTCCTTATGGCCCTGGCTCCATTTCCATTCTGGGGAGCATCAATCCGGTTACTATTCCACTGGCAAGTCAGGAGATAATACAACGTAGGACACCCACACGATTTCTTCCGTCTGGCCGAAGGAACCCTGATCAGCATTGATTACTTCAGCAACGTGGAGGATTGACTGTCAGCTTGCCCTGCTTACTCCTTTCCTCTCAGGACTACTATAAGCACCTGTCAGATAAAACATGCAATACAAGAAAGGACTGAGAAGCTACAAACTGCTGCCAATGCTGTCTAAACTCTAAGCCCCGCGAATAAGAATCGTGAAATCCTTAACATTCTACTCCCTGCTTGTCTTGTTCCTGTCCAAAACCTCAGAAAAAACCCTAAACCCTAAAGAAGATTAATCCTCTTCCATATGCTCCATGTGAAGCATCGGCTACCGCCTGTCGCTCGTGTATCTTGGATGCTCTTCTAGGCCCAAGTTGGGGCTGGTTCCTCCATTACCTGGATGTTCTGCTGGGATGCCAAATTGACCGAATTGTGCCATTTTTTCCATCGTAAAACATGCCCAATCGGCCTTGTCTTTTTGTCACCTACCAACCTGATCCGCTTGGATTTAGCAAGTGTTCTGACCCTGGATTGTTCTGCACTCAGAGTTTAACCTTTCTCCAATGAAGAGGATTTACGTTTCAATACCCTGGATTGTTCTGCACTCAGAGTTTAACCTTTCTCCAATGAAGAGGATTTACGTTTCAATCATCTCTTTGGTTGCTGCTTGCACATTCTCCCATGGGTACTTCGTGCCATCCAGAGTTCTGCTGCAACTCTCCTTTCGTATGGCCTGTAGTGTGACCTTGTGTACCGTCCCGGACCATATTTTCTCTGATTGGCCGAAGTTAGAGGGTCAATTAGTCCAGAGTAGCAGTTGAAGGCGTGCTCTGGGAATGAGTGTCTGCTACTTGACTTTGATGGACAGTTCCGGTCTCTTTTCTGCCTGTTCCTCACTGTCAATTGGACCTATGACGTGTCTGTATTTACCTGGAACTGTGGGTGTGATGGACCCTTGCGCTCTAAATTCGGGATCCTTTGGAGCAGTTTTCCTTGAAGGTAAAGTCTGATGTTAAAAGCCCTAAACCCTCGGTAACCGGTGGTGTGCTGACCAGGTAGAAGTAACTTCAAGTAGTAACGTCTGCAAGCTTCCTTGGAAAAGGGTGTCTGAGGCTACCACCCTAAACCCTAGTGATCCGGGAGGCAGGGGGCGCTTTGACCGAGCTGCTACGAGGAGCCTGGGCCGTTCATCTTGATGGGGGGTGGTTGGGTGGGTGATAGGTGTTAGGATTTAGTGTGGAGTGGTTGACGTTGGTGAAACCTGAAGGATGGGAAGGTATTTAGATTGGTGAGGTAGAGTTCGCGGGAAGTTTGATGGTGGGCGGTGGTTGGGGGGGGTGCGGTGGTGGGTTGTTGGGGGGGGATGCAGTGGTAGATGGTTGGGCTGGGTTGATAGAGTGGTTTATATGTCGTTGTCTGTTCTGTTAAATGCGATGAGAGGTAGGTTGTTTGAAAGTGTGGATTGTGTATGAGTGATAGGGTTTTGGATATTTAGTGTAGGCATGACTAACCAGTCCTTCATGCGCAATCTTCCATTTCTACTGTTCCTAGTTTCCCGTTGCCTAGATTCCGGGAAGCGGATTTATTAATGATCTCTTGTTTCTTGTCCAGGGTATTTTGGAGGGACTGGAGTTTCGTGCATGTTCTTTTCCATTGTGCTTGGATTTCCGTTTCCACCATATGTTTAATGGCTATGAGGGGGTTTTCGGGGGTGTTACTAGGGTCCCCGAAGGTTGCTGCACATCTCCTTTTCCAAATAGCCCAGAGGGTCGATTTTTTGATGAGTGAGAAGAAGAAAAGCTCAAAACCTTTGAGGGGTGGGTCTTGTTCTGTTTCTAAGAATAGGGTGCCTGGGTTGATCACGATGATTTTATTAGAGTGTTTGTTCCATGTTAATTCCATGTCTTGACAGAGTTGCTTTGTCTTTTGGCAATCTATGAAACAATGGTTGAGAGATTCTTCGAGTTGGGCGTTGCACACCCTGCACCAGGATGTCTGTTCGGTGTCATTATCTTTCTTTCTACTTTGTGATAGCCAGAGATTGACGGGTACTGCACGAAAAGTTATGAGCCATAGCAGACTAGCTAGTTTAGGTGGTCTTGTGCAAAACATAGAGGTCCATGATGGGTTGATGTTGTCTAATGTGACAATGATTTCCTCCTTTTCCCAATGTTTTTGTATGATAGTGTGTATGGAAGGGCGTTTGTTGTGGAGCTTGTAGCCTAATTTAGGTGTGTAGTCAGTGAGTGCGTAGCGGCGTTCTCTTGTGGAAAGTGGGAAGAGATGGTGGACTTAGAAGAGGAAGAAGAAGAACTCTCTCTCTCTCTC